TTTCGTGCTGTCCAAGGAATTTTTAAAATTCTACGGTACACCCACATTTCAAATGCCTCGATTCTATTCAGGCTCTTTATTTTTAAAGTCCACGTTTCGACTCCGTAGAGAAGAACAGACCAGATAAAACATTTTACAAGTTTTAATCTCAATTTAATATTTATATGTGTATCGCAGAATAGAACGCGCATCTTAAAGAAACTATCCCTAGCTTGAGCAATTCTCGCTTTAATTTCTTGTTCTGGGTCCAGCTTGCAATTAATCCAACAGCCAAGGTATTTGTATTGGTTTACCTGTTCTAAAATATTCCCATTTATTTTTATAGGTAAGGGGATATTCTGTTTTCTTTGGATCACCATTACTTTTGTTTTTTTTTTCGTTGATCTTCATTCCAAACTCTCGACAAGCATCCTTGAGGTGGTCTATAACCCCCTGTAAGTTTGTGTCTGTATCAGCCAGTAGGACAGTGTCATCTGCATATCTTATGCTAGATATTGGTTCTCCATTAATTTTTATTCCTGTGGAAAGGTTTTCCAAGGCTTGCTTGAATAGTAGTTCCGAGTAAAGATTGAACAGCATAGGGGATAGTATGCATCCTTGCCTTACTCCTTTATTTATACTAATATTTCTAGATGTATGATCGTCGATCCTAATCTTGGCACTCTGCCTCCAATATAAGTTCTTAATTAATCGGAGATCTTTACTATCCAAGTTGATGCTCTGCAAGGAATTTAACATTTTATTATGGTTTACGCGATCAAATGCCTTTTCAAAGTCTACAAAACATAGAAAGACATCCTTTTGTTGGTCGTAACACTTCTGCAGCAGTACTTGTAGTGAAAACAAGGCCTCTCTGGTCCCATTCCGGCTCTGAATCCAAATTGATCGTATCCAACTTCTTTTTCACACCTTTTGTATACCCTATTGTGAAGTATTTTTAATAGAATTTTAAGCACTTGGCTCATAAGACTTATTAATCTAAAATCTGCGCATCGCCTGGAGTTAGCTTGTTTTGGAATGGGAATAAAAATAGATTCTAACCATTCCTCTGGTATTTCCCCAGTATCGTAGATTGTATTAAACAAAATTACTAACAAATCAATGTTATTACTTTCGATCAATTTAAGTATTTCAGGATAAACTTCATCAGGTCCAGGGCTTTTGTTGGTCTTTAATTGTTTAATGGCATATTCCACTTCGACTTTTAGAATTGGTGGGCTTTCAGTAACATTATTTATTGTAGTGTCTATTCTTTCATCTCGGAACAGCTGTTGTATAAATTTTTCCCATTCTTCTATTTTATCTTTGGTGTTATGAATTAACTCTCCGTTGTTATTTACCAGTGGGCAATGTTGTTTTTTGTGGATGAATGAAAATTCTTTCACCTTCTTGTACATATTAAAGTAATCATGTCTATGTTCTAATTCTTCTATTTCTTTACATTTTTCTTCGAGCCATTTCTCTTTTGATTCTTTTATTTTCCTTCGTATTTCTGTATTTAATCGTTTGTAATCGATTGTGTTCTTATTTTTGTATTTCCTCCTTTCGTCTATCATCTTTAGAATAGCTGGTGTCATCCAGTCTTTTTTTGCCATTAATCGTGTATTTGGAATTTCTTCCCTTGCAGAATTGACGAGGATGGATTTTATTTGATGCCAAGTTGTATTTATATTTTGGATATTTATTTGGGTTCGGTCTATTTCTGAGAGTTTTTCATTTAGTTTTACAGTGGTTTTATCTTTAATCTGTACATCTTTTAGTAGTTCCATATTAGGTTTGTTCTTCGGCTTTGCATTTTTTATTACTTTAATTCTTGTGCGAATATTTGCTACTACAGGGTTGTGGTCGGAATTTGCATCAGCACTAGGATATGTTTTTGTACTTGTAATGGAGTTACGAAATCGTTGGTTGATTAAAACATAATCTATTTGATTTCTTATTATTCTTTCTTTTGTGTGTAGCGGGGAAGTCCAGGTGTATAACCTACGTTGAGGTAACTTAAACCAAGTGTTTGTTGCTATCATATTGTGTTGCTGGCAAAACTCTAATAGTCTGTCTCCTCTTTCATTTCGTTCTCCTAGTCCGTATTCTCCTACGATATTTTGGAATTTCCCTCTTCCTATTTTAGCATTAAAATCTCCTAGGACGATGTTAATATCTTCTTTCTTTGTCAATTTAATGAGCTTTTGTAGATCTTCATACCATTCTTCTAGTATGTCATCTGGCTTATCTGCGGTTGGTGCATAGACCTGAATAATATTCACATTAAAAGGAGAACTCCTTATTTGCAACAGCATTGCTCTGTCAGAGAGTGGTATAAAGTTTGAAACTGCGTTACTCAATTCATCGTTTATTATTACACCTACTCCATTGAAATGTTTTGGATCATTGTTGCCTGAATAATAGAGTGTTTTGTTCATAATTTTTGTTGTTCCTGAGTTAGGCCATCTAACTTCACTCAGACCTAAAATATCTATATTCAATCTGTTCATTTCTTGCCACACGTTTGCTAGCTTTCCAGCCTCATAAAGGCTTCTGACGTTTCAGGTCGCTACTTTGACGTCATTGTTTGTTTTAGTTTTGTATTTGTTTTTTTTCCTCCCGGGGATTCTTAGCACCCCCTGAACATTTAAGTTCTGCCGGGCACTGGGGGCCATCGATTTAGTTCCATTTACCATCATAACTTTCTTGGGAAAATTAATGAGGTGGTTTCCCATTGCCTTCCTCATGTTTTCTGTCGGGGTTTTCTCCCTTATCAGGAGTGTTCCAGTTTTAAGGCGCCGGAAGCTCGCCTTTCGCCCTTTCCCGTTAGCGTTACCCAGGAAGTACCACGTGGAGGTGGGAATTGGACTTGCTAACAGACGTAATGTTTAACTATTCATCCAGGTTTTATTGCCACAAACCTTCCGGTGAGACATGTGATCCCAGAGGTCTATCGTTAGCCATTCACTTCCCATTATAAGCCATTATAATCAAATAGTCCTTTGTTTTAGTCTATTTATTTATGGAAGATACCCTTTGAAACTTACACCATTTCAATACAAATGATTTTAATAAGCTTAGGATAAAGTTTTCTGCAATAATTTGTTGGCAACTATACATAAAACTAGTTTGTAGGTCATAAAAGCCTTACGTGACATTTCGACCTTATTATTTATTATTTCTTATTTATAAAACTCTTCATTAGTCACAATTTACATTTAACCAGCTGCCATGTTATTTATAAATGGTTTACACGTTCTATCTCCTCGCCATTAAGGAGAAGCACACCTTGATCCATATTAATCTCTCTAATTGCCATTCACTTTGTCTTTAAAATGTTAATTTTAAAGCCTCTTCAATAATTTCCAATGTATGATTTTCTTGTAAAAATTCTGCAAGAACGACTGTATCGTCAGCGTATCTGATATTGTAGATTACTTTTCCGCCTAGTCTTACTCTTACTCCATCTTGTCTAATATCCAAAGCCTCCATTTCTTTAGAGTACGGATTAAAAAGACTGGGTGACAAAACACAACCCTATCGTACTCCACATTTAATGGGTAGTTTTCCAATACGACTATCTCCAATTTGGATAGATGCTACTTGATTGTAATAGTATGGGATGCTACTTGAAATATTCTAGCAGTCTTATAACTTAGTGGTGAATTCCTGCAGCCCACAGGCAATCGAAAAGTGTATCGTGTTGTACTCGGTGAATGCTTTCTTCGAAGTCGATGAAACAAATATAAACGTTCTTTTGAAGCTCACATCGTTTGTCAGAGAACGCGCATACAAAATAGTGCCTCCCTACGTCCAAGAACATTTCTAAAACCAAATTGCTTACTACCCATTCTACTTTCGTACAGAAGGAATACTCGATTTTATATAATTCTTAAAAGTATCCTAAGTGTGTGGCTTATTAGACTAATTAATCTAAAGTCGCTGCAATTGGTGGGCCTGCTTTTTGTTGGTAATATTATAAACAGTGACTCTAACTAATCATCTGGTATTTTTCCTTCATCGTAAATTTTGTTAAAGAAAGTGGTTAATTAGGTAATATTTTCCTCATTAAAAAGTTTAAGTAGCTCAGAAGGAATTTGATCTGGTACAGGTGCTTTGTTATTTTTGGCTCGCTGTATTGCTTTTCTGACTTCTGATTTTAGTATACTGGGACCTCTATCTAAATGTTTGTGACAGAGTAGTCGCATGTGTATGTATAGCAATTTCTCGAGAAGCATCGTCAAAAAGATCACTGATGTATTTCTCCCATTCTTTGCACTGTTGTTCGTGATCACAAATTTTTCCGTCTGCGTTTTTAAGTACGTGAGCATTTTTCAGTTTTCTAATTCCGAAAGCATATTTAAGTACGATTAACTCATGATTGGCGCCAGTTTTTTATGATTTCCTAGACCTGAAAGTTTCCCCAGTCCAAGCGTTCCACTAATTAATATGTAATTGTTGGTTTTATCATCATGTGATAAATTCAATATAACATATCTGGTTTTAAACCCCACATTTTTACATGAGTGTGGCTGACTACCATTAACGTAGTTACCGCTCTCTTGGTTAGTTTTTCTATCTGCTAATTCCATACTTTACTTCACTAATCAGATTTAAAGATTGCATGTGACTCTGATGTAACTACTGCCGAAGAGATATTTTTTACATCCTAAAATATTTAGATATTCGGTTAACCTTTTTTTATTATAAAATAATGTTCTCGATATAGTCTTATAACACAATATATTTATGTTTTTATTTTAAATATACATATACTTGTAAAAGTACAGTAATGTTATGTCTTTGGTTTCTTCTAACAGAATCAATAAAATAGAAATATATTCAACCAATTACTTAGCTGCTATGTTAATAAAAGTTTATTTATTTAGCTACGTTTACAAATTTAAATATAATTTTTAACATACCTACATAAAATGTTACCATCACCTCTGTAGATTAGTTAGTTGTCATTTTTCTCTTAAATTCAATAAATACAGTTATTTGAATCAATGTTAAAGATGTCTATGAGAGGAATCGAAGGTCCAATGGGACTTACAGGCGTGCCAGGACCTCAAGGACCTCCTGGTCTCGAAGGAATCAAAGGAGATCCTGGGGATGTTGGAGAACCGGTATGTATTCTTTATTTTATGGTATGTGTCTATTTAGTATAGTCCGATTGGTTTTTTTACTTTTTTTTATTACTCACCATAGTACTTATATATCGACTGATTAGATTCACTTGTGAATACCAATTCAAAGTCTTATATAAACTTATATTACACTTGTGCGTTTAATGTTTGACCAAATATGTGTTCGAACCAATAATGCCCAAAACTACTTAGTTTCGGTGACTGACTTTTCCTATGTGAGATAAATCTTGAGAGAGAGAGAGAGAGAGAGAGAGAGAGAGAGAGAGAGAGAGAGAGAGAGAGAGAGAGAGAGAGAGAGAGGTCAACAACTTTTTGAGAATTTAATTTCTAATAAATTATTATTTCTTAAGGGCTTACCTGGAGTAAGAGGACCGACTGGTCTAACAGGTCGAGAGGGAAACAGAGGTCGACCAGGACGAGATGGAGAGCGGGGCATTACAGGGCCTATGGGTGCAAAAGGTGAACAGGGGCTTATTGGTCTACCAGGATTGCCAGGCGAAAAAGGCGAAAGGGGTTTTTTCGGAAGTCCAGGAGAAAAAGGACATCCAGGTCATGATGGTTCACAAGGTGATGAAGGTCCACCAGGTCCACCTGGGCTTCCTGGAGAAATGGTAAACTGTAATTTACATTTATCGCTTCATTTTACACATAAAATTAATTTTTAGGGACCAAGGGGTTTTACTGGTCCAAGGGGTATACCTGGATTGCCTGGAGTTGCGGGAATACCAGGAATTGAAGGTCCTCCGGGAAATAAAGGTCATCCTGGTCCAATGGGACAACCAGGTCAGCCTGGGCAATCAGGACCTTCAGGAGCTATAGGTTCTCCTGGTCCGCCAGGTTTGTTAGGACCTCCAGGATTAATGGTGGGTATTTAAAAATTAATGCACTTTTTATAAATATATTTTAATTAACTGTAATAGGTGTATTGTAAGATTAAATATACTTTCAATATGGCTTTCCTAAATATTTTTTGCAAATTATTAACTGAATCCTTCATTTTTACCCTTACAATGATGAAAATATTAACAATATGAAATATGCTTTTTTCTAAAAGGTAGGCATTCAATCTCATGTTAAATTATATTATCTTTCCGAGAATGACTATTAGGCTCTGGATTAACCAACGCGCCTACATCGGACACACATCTAGAAATCTAATAGACAGACTAACATCACATAAAGGTGATCTCAGAAATAATAAAAATACGTGTGCATTAATAGATCCTGCAATTAAGAAGAATCATTCATTTAATTTCAATGAAAGTAAGATATTAAGACGTGAAAACCAATTAAATAAAAGAGAATTCTGAGAAATGGTATACATAAATAAATACCAATTCATTAATAAAAAAAATCTATAATTATATGCTCTCTTACGAAAACTAATACTATAATTCCCTAATATTAAATTTCATGACTAAATTAAAAAAAATTAAATATTCATATTTTTTGTCGCCACTATCACTAATCCTATGACAAGTTAAATACTTCATCATTGTATTATGTATAGTATGCAGCCATACAACAATCGAAAACACAACGAAAAATATAATATTTAAACAGAAACGAGTGTCTTTCTGACATAAATCAAACATCAATGTAATTATTATCAATCATGATTCCTAAAATTAAAACATTGTAATTACTATATATTTTTAAAAAGTATTAAAAGTATATAATTACTTACTTATATACTTTTAATAAGTTAAGTTTAATATTTTATGAAGTTTAAAATTTAATGGAAATTTAACCTCATGTAAGTTTTTGTGCTTGTTTTATACGTTTAATTTGAATTTCATTGTATTTGCTGATAAAATAATGATAACCATATTTTCGCATATCCTAAAGACGCAAATAAATTTTTGCGAAAGCTAAGTATAAGAACAAAGAGTTTTGCTTATCCTGCCCTATTAATGACTACAACCTCAAAATAAAACTTTAGGTTACATAATGTGTCAGTCAATAATAAGTAACTACTTTATATAAAGGTACCAAAAGTGAAAAAATATAATGAACTCACAAACACTTCAAATCGATAAAATAATAAAAAAAATGGTATGGTAAAAAACGAGATTAACATTTTATGCAACAACTTTTATATCAAGTTGATAAGACAACAAAATTCTCCAACATGATGATTTACGCCTCTAAAACAAAATACATGACAACATCAAAAATATGTCTGAGATATAAGGTTGAATTAGATGGAGATCTTTAGATATCATATTTTGGATTTATTAAGGTGGAAGTTCGAGAACAAAGTATAAGAGCAGCAATGATGGCAGGATATAGCAAAAACAAAAACATGACATTGAGACCAATCCAATACTCTACATGACAACCATAAGATCAATCATGAGATATAATGCAGAAACAACAAAAACCAAAAGATTACTAGAAACTAGAACAACAGAAAGATTCTTCATAGAATAGCTAGAAAGACACTTTGAATAAAGAAAGAAGCAAAAGACTGAGATGCACATACAAGTTCGAAGATAATAATAATAGAGTATGAAAACGAAAATGCTAGTAAAATGGCCATGATAATAGAATGGATAAAGGAAAAGTGGTGAAATCATTTAAGAAAAATTAAGATATAGTATAAACCACCTAGAAAAGAGGTGTAGAGATGACCTAGAGGGGCCAAATGTATGAACATAAAACTTCCTAAAATCAAGAAGGAAGAAGAAGGCCACATGCTTGAAATGGCAGTGGAGATCTAAATCCTTGTGACGTAGCTAACATATTTAAAGTTATAAATATCTTCAACTGTTTAAAAAAAAAACATTAAAGTTCTTAAATTTGAACTATACTTAACATAAACATGATATGAACTTATTACTTACTACTTACATACTTACAAGAAAATAAAACAGTTGGTTGTTTTTTATAATTTTTATATTTTACACATCCTTATAGTGTTCAATTTAACATATTTCTGTACACAGGCCATTCCTCGTGTTATCACAAATATTGAATATTTATAAAATATTAGAATATATAAAATATTAATTTCAGTTTGAACATGCTACAATTTTTATTCTAGTGCTTACCCAAAACACAAGTGAATATTGAGGCATTTCTACATAAGGTGTCAGAGATTTTCTTCGTGGCGGAATGTTAGGTATTTTATTTCCTGGCAATAACTTCAATAGAACTCCATTTAAATAAATGTCTTTGGAAAACCAATCTTTTGACTGAAATTCAAATGCCATCAGATACAACGGCATATTATCTGGTTCCAGTCCTTCAATTACAATTTTAGTTGTTTTGCTGCCTAGATTAACTCCAAATATTACTACAGATGGTAACATTTCCTCTTGTAGACAATGTACATATAATCGGACTAACTTGTTTGTTTGGCTTTGATGTGGTACAACAGTTCTTCCAACTAATCTTTTGTACATCAAACTAATCCACCAATCTGGATTTGGATCATAGTTTTCATCTAAAAGAGAATAATTTCCATGAAATATTGATTGTCTCATTACTACTTCTACACCCATTTTGGCTGCAAGTCCAAGTTTGTCCAACCACATAAATGAACCTATAAATCTATCAGACATATTAGGAGCCCCACCCCCATAGGCTGAAGAAGTTTCTCCTAGCCATATTGACCTTCCACTTGAGTTTGTTAGTTCCTTTACTCTAGTTATTTGATATTTTAATAAATCAAAAACTGTGGGATCTAAGAAATCTTGTGGTTTTGCTGTTCGCCCATTTAAATAATACTGATGCCAAGTTATCTTATCTATAACATTCTTGGCAGATGTAACAAATTCTTTTAAAAATATTTGACTTTCTTTATGGTTCTCTACTGGTCTTGTAACATCTGGTCCTACTAGGAGGGATTTATTGAAATTATTATATTTATTTAATATGCTTCTTAACTGTTTAAAATCTTTAGCCATTTGACTGGCATTAACCTCTTTGTTAAACTTATGTCTGAATGAATTTGGTTCATTTCCTAATTCCCAATTCACAATTAATCCATTTTCGTCTGAAAATTTTATCATTTCTTCAGCATTTCTATAATCCCATGCTCCATTTTTAAACCTCTGTAAAGCATTAAGTCCAAAAAATATCTGCATATATGTGTTGCTTGATAAATTGTTAAGTTTTAACCAATCAGATGCAAATAAAATAACATCAGGAAGTGCAGCATAGTCCATATTTCCAAAGTTATTGCTGCTATCATATAATTGATCTACATTTTCAATATTTAAATCTGTCTTATTTTTTAAAGAGAATATTAACTTATCTGCTAAATTTCCTCCAATTCTTAAGTATCCTGGGGATAGGTATCTTATCATCGCTATAAGTTTTTCATTGTTCATATCAAAGTCTTTAAATCCCCTTGCTATTACAACATCATCTAAAGCTATACTTAGAAAATATGGACTGGTTTTAAATGTTGCTGGTTTATTATTTTGGATATACATTTGAATGGAATCTTCAGGAGTTTTCGGAAGTACGACTTCATAACAAGAAACTAAAAACAATAGTATTGTTAATATCATAATCAATAAAATCCTATATCTCTTATGCACTTCACTAAAGGAATCAACAAGTCGCTCTCTCTGCAGCAACATCAATAATGTGTGATTATTATTATATTAATGTGATTATTATAGTAATAAAACAAGAACACTTATATGTTATTTAACATAGAACAGATAATAAAAATTAAACATCTTTATCTTTAACTGTCGGCAAATAATCAAACATAAACATCAACAATACTTTTGTGACAAATCTTTTAGGTTAGTGGTAAATAAATTAAATATTCTTCTTCAAGATGAAGATCTGTGTTACTTAGATAATCCAACCACAATTATTGAAAACTATTAAATATTAAAATGCTCTAGGATTTTTGTAATTTACGTAATAAATAATAGATTAACTATTTCACAAACGGTAATAATACAAATTCATTTGGAAGTATTTTAGACGCCCTTCCGGTAGGGATCTATGGAGGAGTATCACCGAGCCGCAAGCCCTTATCTCTTGTCGTACTGCTCCACCATAGGCCGATCAGATACCAGCATATTTTATATTCTATTCAGTATTTTACATAATATTTATAAAAAAACAATATTGTTTGCATAAATTATCAGAAATTGAATTTAAATCAAGAGTAAATTAAAGTTTTGTACAAACAGTTTGCTTAGATATACCTAATCATTGAGTGTTAAACAAGCCCATGAGTTGTTTTGTTTAGTATTTAGTTTATAAATATAAATAAAAATCATTTGATAGAAAATTGAATTATATAAACTGAATAATATGTTGTATAAATAATAATTGTATTTATATGAAATTATTTTAAAACGAGAATTATAAAAATTTAAACAGATGATTCAACCAAAGAATATAATAAATTAGCAAGCGAACACTATCAAACCATTAATAAAACTAATGAGAGCGAACCCCTCTGCGGTCTCTTTATTTCGACAATTACCGGCTTATTTATGGTTGCAGACAGCCACCGGTGAAATTTCGAAAGCAAAATAAAACTAAGTAACTAATACACATTACTATTACCTGCTAGTTGGTTGACGACACACGTCAAATTTTGTGCTCGTATTGATTTTCACGATTACTCGGTAGAATATAATTATTTCGCAAGGAAGTTTTGCATGATTATTCCATATATCAATAGTTACTAGTTTTTGTAAAAAATTTTGTGAAAAAAGTGCAGTTACAGCGAATACCTACTGTGAGTACCATTCCACAGCGACAGCTGACCGCAAACTCCAGTGCGATGGATGTAAGCAACAAATACATATCACATGCACCGACCTTTCTTCGGAGGATCGTGCCACCCGACAAAAAATTCGTGGACTGAGTTTACTTTGTAACCCTTGCAGCTCTAATATTTCTAATATTTCAGAAATAAAAGATCTTCTGCTAGATTTTAAAATAAAAATTCGTAAATAATTCGTTTTGATAATAAAATAACTGAGTTAAACAATAAGCTCAGTCAGATTGATTTATTTAAGTCTACCGAATTCACGGATAATATTGCTAACGAAACTGTAGACCCCATAACACGTGCTATAAATATTCTAATTAGAGGCGTAACAGAATCTTCCTCTGGGGATGCACAACGCAGAAAAGATGATGACGCGAATAAGGTTAAGCTTGTTTTGGATACTGTTGGCTGCCAGGAAAAGCAAATCACCTTCTACAGAGTCGGCAAAGCAAACAAACGATTTCCCCGAATAATAAAGGTAGTAATGGGTTCGGGATACCACGTTAAAGATATTCTGAGAAATAAAGCCAAACTTCTGGAGAACAAAGCCACGGAAAAATTCTCAATAATTGACGACAAGACGCCCATCCAACAAGTACGTTTAAAAAACTCCGAAGTGAGCTAGAAACTCGCAAAAATAACGGTAAACATGATTTAACTATTACATACATCAATGGCACACCCAGAATCACGAAATTTCGTTTATATTTTTTCTACCGACAAATTTAATGACTGGCTATTTCTATATACTAATTTAGATTCACTTTCCGCTAAGTTTGATGAATTGGTATGCATAGTGCAACTTCTTAAACAGGACATTATTTGTATTGCCGAATCCTGGATTAAACCCACAATTCCTGACTCCTCTGTTAATATAAATGGATATACATACAATGGATATTGTTAAGACAGAGAAAATCGTGTGGATATCGGTCTATGCATTTACTTATCTAATATTATTACCACAATTTTCAAAATTAACATTAAGCTAATAGATATTACTGGAATAGATGCAATTTACTTATCTGTTACTAAAAATTTTTTTTGCCTTAATTTAGTATGTATATATCGTCCACCTATTACACTACTTGCACAATAATGTTTTCTTCACAAAACTTGAAGAACTATCATCTCTTGATAATCTTATCATTACTGGAGATTTTCACTTCCCAGAGATCACCTGGCCAATAACTTCATTATCTGATGCAAAAACTCTCATAATTTATTTAAAAGCTTTGTAGTAAATTCAAACCTGATAAAATTTATTACAGAACCTACTAGATTTAGAACAGCTGATTTCATCTATCGAAGTCAGTTCTCCTATAGAAAAGTCAGATTATGCAGTTATAACGGCTCACATTCAGTTCAATCAAATATTACCCCGCATTAATAATATTGTAACATATGCTACTACCGACCTTTATGAAGTGGACATTGAACTCTCTCAAATCGACTGGCATTTATTTTTTGCAAACTTAAACGACCCCTTAAACGACGTCTAAAGTTTCCATTCCTCTACTTCAAAAATCCAACCAGACTTTATGCTCTTCTGGCAAAGAATCTTCCGAAACTCTCTCTTTAGCATTTTCACAGGTTTTAATAAAGAATGGAATGATGGTTATATCTACCTGCTATTAACTGTAATCGTGTCGGCGCATACTTACAGCAAGTTTAATTCACAGTGGATCATGTCAAACAATTTCTTAATTAAACTTCGCATAGCGGCTTCACCTGGTTTAGATAGTTTAACACCAAAACTGTTAAAAAGGTGCGCAGAAACGCTTGCAATACCCTTAACGTTAATTATGCAAACTTTTTTCATCCAGAACTCTTTACCCCCTAGGAAGAAATTAGTTTCCGTTACCACTATTTTTAAAAAAGGCAACAAACTCGACCCCAACAATTATCATCCGATTAGCTTGCTGCCAGTAGTTGCCAAAGTTATGGAAGCCATTATCTCCGAGGAGATGACCAAATTCCTTCTCCGGGAACATGTTATTCCAACACAACAACATGGATTTGTCTCTGGTCGCTCTACTTTAACCAATCTCTTACATTGTGTTAACGACTGGACGTCATCCCTTAACAGTTCGCATCCGGTCGACGTTGTTTATCTAGATTTCTCTAAAGCCTTTGACCGTGTACCTAAGCGCAGACTTCTACATAAGCTAGAACATTTCGGAGTTCGCGGTATTTTACTTCGTCGGTGAATCTTTCTCACAGGACAGGTTAGTGGAAAGTGGAGTGCCTCATCCTTCAGTCCTTGGACCTCTGCTGTTTAGGGTTCACACCAACGATGTTCCTTATTATGTCTTAAGTAAAATATCGCTCTACGCTGATGACACAAAAATATATGCCAATCCAATCACAAACCAGCTAACCCTCCAAATGGACTTGGACTCTATTTTAACTTGGTGTTTCCAGTGGTTACTACCCTTAAAAGCGGAAAAATGTGTAGTGCTTCGAATTGGTAAAAATAACCCACTTGTGCAATACTTTGTTAACGGGCAGCCATTAGATTCTGTGTTTTCGTATAACGATCTTGGTGTTATCGTAAACAGCAGCCTAACTTGGTCCGGCCATATTACCTCTATTTGTAAACGTGCGAACTTCAGACTGTATCTTATTCGGAGATGTTTTTCGAGAGTTTCAATGCAATCTTTCTGTAAACTTTACACTCTGTACGTAAGACACATACTTGAATACGCTGGACCAACGTGGTATCCTGATCTGGTTTGAGACAAGACTTTGTTGGAAAACGTCCAAAGAAAAGCCACTCGAATTTCTTTGGGACCGAGAAGACCTTCTTATGCAAAAAGACTTAGTATGGCTAGCCTAACTTCTTTTGAACTTCGCTGACAACGTGGAAACTTAATTACAACTTTTAAAATACTAAAATTCAATTTTGGAAATTTCGATGAAATGTTTACCATTAATCAAGATGAACGCCTCAGGAGTCATCAGTTTAAACTGAGGAAAGAAAATTTTTCTACAAGATCAAGACAGAAGTTTTTACCAAATAGAGTTTTTGAGTGCTGGAATAACCTTAACGATAACATTGTCTCTGCCCCCTCTACCAACTCGTTCAAAAACAGACTTGACCGTTTTACATCATAGTTAAAATATTGTTTTTCTTTTAAACAAAAAATTGTAATTTATTTCTTTTATTTGTAATTTTGTTATTTACTAGTAGGTTATTAATGAAATTTCTTTGTTTTTGGGCATAATAGGGACTTAGTTCCTCTGCCCTCGCTTATGTATAATAATAATAATAATAATAATCGGTCTTTTACAGAGGTATTTGGTATGTGTCGACATTTACCAACAAATATTGACGTTCACTCATTTCTTGGTCTTCCAAGGTACCTGACATATATAAATATAAAATATATATTTTAGATACATAATGGATTAGTAACTGTATACTGGCCAGTTAATTTGTTGTAAAAGATAAAATAAAAAATAGTAAAACATTATGACTATGATTCTTACATACTATAACTAAGATTCCTGAAAACTAAATGCACTAGGTTTTTTAAATGTACATAATTCACAACCAAAACTAAATTTAATTGTAGGGTCCCTCAGGGAAACCTGGAGTGCCCGGACTTCCTGGTGCTGAAGGATTACCCGGGATAAATGGTAATCCGGGACAACCAGGTCCCAAAGGTGAGCAGGGAGCTTCAGGGCCACAAGGAACAATAGGTTTTCCTGGTAGTCGGGGAATTAAAGGAGATGAAGGAAAAAGAGGTCCTCAAGGTGAAAAAGGAGAACAAGGAGAACGTGGTATAGAAGGGGAAAAGGGGGACATGGGAGCAAAAGGCGATACTGGACCGTTGGGGCCCCAAGGTGTACCAGGTTTAGAAGGTGTTGAGGGACCAAAGGTATGTAGATAGATGTACTTACATTCAATACAAAAATTTCGTAAGTATAAATTTAAAATATCAGTTTAGATATTTAATTAATTATTTTTGGATTGTATAAGGGGTGGTAGATTATATGGTGTAAGTTACACGACAGGAATAAAATTATTTCCGTGTTTCGTCGTAGCTGGTGCTTTATCTACACTGTAAATAAAACTAGTAGCATCTATAGGTTGAAATAAATAAAATGCACATCACTGTGAGCGGTATAATTACCGAAAAGAACAATAACTTCTTAAAAATAGGTTACAACAAAACGTTATGTCCATAGCTTGCAATCTAATGGCTGAATATCAATTGACAGTATTTGGTCATACCATCTACGTTATCAAGTGGCAATGATTGTGTTAAAAAACAATATTGTGGAACTGGAACTTTACGATCCTTTAAGATTTTTTTTAAGATGTGAGGAAAAAGATAATAGAATTCTTTGCATGGCAACTTGCGGTTTGTATGAAAAGGGATTTTCCTGCATTTGGACATCTTTTATTTATAATCTTCTCTCATAGGGTGGTCCCCAATATCAAATAGTAATTACCAGTTATTGTTCTACCCTTATTAAAAAAACAGTCACTCGGAAATCCAAAAAAAAACTGAAGAAAGATCTTTTTCAGTAGATTTTTTAAAACGAAACACAAATTGTATTAGATAACGAAACCAGCAGAAGTTGAAATCAGGAGAAGATTTAGGCAGATATGTATTATGTAACAGGTTTTGGATATTTTCATTTTATTTCGTTGAGTACAATTATTTAAATCTAGTGCACCAACAAAAAGTCAAGGCATTTATCAAATTTCAGTAACGAAGATCTATTTTATTTTAAAAATGTTAAACTGTTTATTAAAACCAAGATTAGGAAAAACTTCATTTAAAGGAAGGTATACGTATTACTAAATATTTATTTTATGATTTAAGGGTTTTGATGGTCCACGGGGAGAGACTGGTGAAATCGGTCCTCCTGGAGAAAAAGGGAAGGAAGGTATTCAAGGCCTTATAGGTTATCCAGGATCGGCAGGTGATAAAGGAGACAAAGGAGCAACTGGAAGACTTGGACCTGATGGAGAAAAGGGAGAACGGGTTAGTAACAATTTTAAAAATTAAGATTGATTTCAGACTCATATAATCAATTAAACTGAAATTTGCACCTCGTTTTATAGTTTATTTTTTGTAGGTTTTTCTTTGTTATAGATTTTGTTGAATTTGAGACGTGGTCGAATTTCCTATTCAAATCCGACAGTCTATTATTTTTAAATTTTTAGATAAAATAACATTTTGTTAATTTTTAGGGTCACACAGGACCACAGGGCGAACGAGGTGAACAAGGACCAAGAGGTTTTAGAGGAGGCAGAGGAAGAAGAGGATCTGATGGTTTGCAAGGTCCTAAAGGTATGCAATTAAAAATATTTTTAAAATTTTATGGTATATAATAGTTAAAGAAATATTTGCCGATGTATATGTATTGAATATTGAATAATCTCTCCACCTTTTTCTCATTTCTTTTATTTTACTTTTCCTTGTTCTTACGTCTTTATTCACATTCTTTTTCTATTTGGCCTATTTCGAGGGTGTCCGTTAAAATCCATGCATGTTTTCCCACATTTTCTTCCAGCTTTCTTTTTACGTGGAAGAGCTTTCGGAAATGGTCTTATAAGTTCAGGGCTTACAAATGAATTTGGATTATTTTGGAAAGTATAAGGGTTAGCCAAAAGTAAATTTTCTGTAGCCTGTTAGGCTTCAAATGGATCTGGATGGTCTGTAATATACGCACTGGTAAAATCACTATCTGTAAATACAACTGGATTGTGTGGACACATACCAGTATGTGAAAACCCATCTATGATATTGGCAGGTGTAAAAGCGCGAACATAAGCACTTCCCACAAGTTCAGGTATTTCCTTTAAGGATATCAGCTGTGCAGGATTGTTAACCATCCAGTTATCGGCTGCTTCTTTATAAAATTTTTTAAATGACCCAAAAGCGTTTGTATCCAAGGACTGTAACTTACGGCTAGTAAGAGGTGGAATGGTGAGTAGTAATACTCCATTGTTTTTACAGATGTTAAGCCCTTTTGGCGAAATATGGCAGTCATGATTGTCTAGTATCATCAGACACTTGTGATTTATGTCAACTCGGGAATATCTAATGAAGTGCAGTAAATATTTTTCGAAATTCTCATGAGTCATCCAACCTGATGGGTTAATCACAGCATCAGCACCAATGGGAAGCTCTCTTGTCATATAATCCTGGACCTTAATCATCGGATTAATTAAAAATGGGGGCATGGTGTTACCAGGCGCACTTATAGTGCATAAAACTGTTACCAGTGATCCTTTTTCGCACGATGTTGCCTTTGATACCTGCTTCTGCCTTTCTTCGTAATTATTTTTTGCCGCTTATGTGCTGTTGTAACTCCCGTTTCATCTGCGTTATATATACAATCAGGTGTAATCGATTTCCCTTTCCATGATGGTCTTTAAATTGCCAAAAAATAGCCGAACGGTATATTTGTTAAATGCAGTGGAATGTCCTACACTCGTGGCTTCTGGTGTTCTAAGTGATAAGTGATATTATGTCGTAACATAAAACCCCTTAGCCAGTCACGCGTAGAAGCTGTATTTTTCTCCCAAGCTGCTTAATTTTTTTATTATTTTCAGTTGCAAAATCTAAACAAACTTTCTTACTGCAATTGGAGTAAGTTCATAATGTAAGTCAGCATATTTGAGTAGCAAATTTTCTTCTTGAAAGTTCGCTACAAACGACATATTTTCATTTGATTTAAATTTATTTACATCTCTAGATGAGTCGTTCTATCAATATTATATTTTTTAGCGACTGTGCGGATTGTACCATTAGTGCTACATATTTCCCGTACCGCTGTTTCCAAAATTTCAGGATCAGTAGGCCTTTCGATTTCCATTTAAAAGGCATCTGAGTATGAACCAAAAACCAACACTTTCAACCTCTGTAATGAGTGTTGTAGCAATGAGAACATTTGATCAGCGTGACCAAAGCTACCACTCTGCACCTTTTCGACCAATTTAACTGCAACCAAGTTTTCTGGTTCAGAAAATAGTGAAGGTTATACTTTAGCCGCGCACTATGTAAAGCAAACAGAAAATGAGTAGTATCAACAACTCTTCACAGTTTCTTTTTGATTTTTTGATGGTGATGTAAATATTGCTTTCAAGCCATTCGTTTCTGCAGTGGACTAAATATTGTTAAATTAGTTATATTATAAAAAATAATACTGGTAATTCGGAGTGCTTCAATTCGGCTGTATTCAAGTAAACCAAATGGTTTTATTTAACAATTTTGTAAAATATTTTATTTACTAAGCTTATCAATTTTTAATAGGTGACACTGGCCAACCTGGTCCACCCGGTGTTCAAGGAGAAGTTGGACCTCCGGGTCCTGAAGGTGGTAGAGGTTTTGCAGGACTTCCAGGAGGTGTTGGACCTCCAGGAAAAGATGGATTGCCAGGTCTATCAGGAGAACGAGGTCCACCGGTAAGTAATAATTATCAACGTCTGTTAATCTTAGGGTATTTTTATTTAACCGTTCTGTATTTTTTCTTTTTGGTTTATTAATAATTTTCGAGATATATATTTACCGGCCTTATTAATGTTTTGTTAAGTTTCGTGGTGGTTTTTTTTGTAGTATATTCCTGATCTACTTCATTTTTTGCTTGTTCCAGCAACAAACTTTGTTTCATCTTCTTTAGGGGCATCCTACATTTGTTGTTCCATTCAGTTTAAAATTTAGTATTGGTTTAAATAGTCGATTTTTATTCATTCTGCGTATCTGCTAATAGGTTGTTCTTAGTTTTCATCTTAACGTCTTCATCTCCCTATCTATCGTGTCTGTCTTCTGAGAAATCTCACTTCGCTACCTTGGATTCTAAAGTTAGGTATCTCAGGAACAAACCATTGTCGTATACAGCCTTTTTATTATATTGTTAGTAGTTTTGTGCATTGTCTGTATATATATATATATATACAGTATTGGAAGATTTAAAACGGAACATAAGGATTATTAATACAATTAGTAAGATCTCCTGACCTGCAATTACCCAGTGTAAATTTCAATATAACGTCGCGATGTCTTATAATTAATTCATTTGTTCGACTGGACTCCTTCTCCAGTCGATATTTTTCGACTGCTGTGCACGTGCGCACCTTACCAAACGCAAACGATCATCGAATAATAAAATCTTGCTCGGCCAGTGATGTTCCTTGGGACTGTTGCCAAATCGGTAGATACCTTCGGCAAAAATCTGTAGATTTTGATGTATCATATACATCCTTTTAAATTTTAAATTATCAACAATATTTGGAATAATAAATATATTAAATTATACACTAACCAATTCAAATAATATCTAATGAACACAAAAAAATTGTTATTAATAAAACATTGTTATTATCTGCACAAAAACACAGAAAATCAGTGGACGATAGACAACAGTGTCGACGTACACTTGCCGAATACGCTACTAGAAATCGCGAAGGAGTAGCAATCCAGTCGAACAAATGAATTAATTATAAGACATCGCGACGTTATATTGAAATTTACACTGGGTAATTGCAGGTCAGGGGATCTTACTAATTGTATTAATAATCCGTATGTTCCGTTTTAAATCTTCCAATACTGTATATATATATATATATATATATATATATATATATATATATATATATATATATATATATATATATATATATAATTATAAAAGAGTGAGATAAAATACGGATGAGGATACTATGAGAAACAATTCAACCATACAATAATTAAGCTATATATATATATATATATATATATATATATATATATATATATATATATATATATATAATATATATATATATATATATATATATATATATATATATATATATATTCGTCATCATCATGTAGTCTATCTCTCTTTCATTGTAGTTACACGTTGCACTATGTTTCACTTCGCTCCGTGTGTCATTATCGGTAACACGCATTGTTCATATAATCTTCTCTTCAAACTTCAGATATGTTTGACAGCATTCTCCCCTTCATTCCCAAATTCCCCCATTCAACATTTGTATCTGGTTTCGTAAATGGTTGATGGATGATTTAAGCACCTTTGGTAAAGAGATATAAGACATAAATGGATGGGTGACAAAACGAAAACAGGTGTGAAACGAACATATCAGTAGAATGACAGAGGATAGAATAGTACGAATAGCACGAGATAAGTCACCAAATGGACGAAGAAGTATTGGCAGACCAAGAAAAAGATGGTGCGACAATTTAGGAGGCTAATATTGAAGAAGAAGTCCGTACCATATTAGCTGCTTTGGTTGTATTTTATGTACTTTTTTGTACCTTCTGTTCCCATGCTTTCTCTGATTTCTTCATTTCTTATCCACTCTTAGGCTTCTACAAGTATCTGTTAATCCCCACGTCTCACGTACATATAAATGTATACTTTTTACCAGAGTTTCATAGATATTAAACTTTCTAGTAAATACAACTGATTTGTAGTAAAATTAATTTAATATCAGTAAAGTATGATTATTAAGATGATTTTTTATAGGGAGAACCAGGAAAACCAGGACCATCAGGACTTCCAGGAGTTATTGGTCCTCAGGGACCCACAGGAGAACCAGGGCCTATAGGAGAACCAGGGACACCAGGAGCACCAGGTATCCCTGGTGAAGCAGGATTACCCGGAGACTCCGGTAAAGAAGGACCGCCTGGACCTCCCGGACCAATTGGCAAACCTGGTCCGCCTGGTTTAACGGGACTACCTGGTTTTCCGGGAGAAAGAGGAGCTAATGGATTACCAGTAAGTTATATCCATATTTATACTAAAAATTTACGATCATCTAGTTTTAAGACAGAAAATCAATACTTATTCATCTTCAACTACCACTCTTCTCATACCTTCTCGTTTTTTACTTATTTGTCAAAAATGTCAGTGAAGGTTTGGTTCATAATTGTGATGATATTAATTTCTATTAGTATTTCGTTATTTGTATTTTGTGCCGTCGAGCATAAGAGTGTCATACTGCACTTGACTCACATTTAAAACGCATTAAAGTCTTATTTTTACTTATTCAAACTTTTGCAACAGTGTCAATGGGAAAAATGAATGCTCGTGACAAGCGGGTTGCTGGTTTTTATTTTTGTTATGATCATGTCATATGAATTGTTCGCAATTTTATTTCATAAATGTTTTGAAAACTAGTTTAGGATTGGAAATCGAATCTATGTAATTTTATAACAATTCATTGTACCTAGTTGATTTCCATGTATAAAATATTTAGTGAAAATAACAATTATTTTAAATGTAAAAGGGTTCACCTGGTACCAAAGGAGACATTGGCCCGGTAGGCCCAGCTGGTGCCACGGGGGATAAAGGTCAACAAGGAGAATCTGGAAAAGATGGGCCCACAGGACCGGAAGGCAGGAAAGGGCCACCCGGACCCCCAGGGCCAGGAGGAGCCAAAGGCGAAAGAGGAGAAAGGGGTGCACTTGGTGTTGCAGGAAGAGATGGACTACCGGGAATGAGAGGACTTCCAGGAGCTCCAGGACCTGTAGGACCGCCCGGAGAAGATGGAGATAAGGGAGACATTGGACCACCCGGTGAAAAAGGATTCAAAGGTAGCCAAGGGGAAGCAGTAAGTATTTAATTACAAAAATATGAAAGTAAAATTAATTAGATATTTTCTCTTTAAAAAATTAATCTTTTCTTTTAACTTAATCTTTTTTCTTATAGGGACCAATTGGAAGTCCCGGAACTCAAGGACTTCGTGGCGAACCTGGACCAGTAGGTCCGTCAGGAGAAAGGGGGCCCCCAGGACAAATGGGTAGAGCAGGAACGAAAGGTGAGGACGGGCCTAAAGGTTTACCTGGCCCAGCAGGTCCCGCTGGACCACAGGGATTACCAGGATCAACTGGAATTAAAGGAGAAGTAGGCGATATTGGTGAGTATATATTTCGATAAAATAACATTTCTCTGTCTACTTTTAATTCATATGATAATTATATTTATTTGGGTTCAAATATGCTTGTTATAAATTCAAAACAAAGTTCTTTATTCTCTCAGGACAAAAGGGACCACCTGGTCAAACAGGATCACCAGGAGAACCTGGACCAAGGGGTCCAAAAGGGGTGGAAGGCATTCAGGGACCGTCAGGAATGGAAGGTCCACAAGGCATGAAAGGAGATAGCGGACAACCAGGTTTGCCCGGACCACCGGGAAGCGAAGGAAAACCAGTAAATATTTATTTAGTATTAAAAATGTATTTATTTTTGTTAAAGTAGCTTATCGACTTTTGAGCTTTTTATTAATTTAAAATTTAAAGGTTAAAAAATTTAATTTAGTTAATTTGCTTATTAATAACAACTTCCACTTCTACAAAACTGACTACAAAGAAAGTGATATTATTGCGCGATTTTAGGGAGACCTTGGTCCAACTGGTCAAAAGGGAGATGAAGGAAAAGCTGGTATCCAAGGGGCGGTAGGACCTAGAGGTCCTCCCGGACCAGAAGGTACCAAAGGAGCAGCAGGAGCTCCAGGTTTTCCTGGGCCCCCTGGGGAACCAGGTCCGACCGGATTGAAAGGTGAACGTGGACAAGACGGTGACGATGGTAAACAAGGAGAAGCTGGTGCTCAAGGAGAGCAAGGTTTACCTGGAAAAATGGGACCAATTGGTCCTCCAGGACGACCTGTAAGTTGTCAAACTTTTTATATCGATTTTACAAATATATTATAAAATTATTTTAGGGTCCTGAAGGTCCAGCTGGACAGCAAGGCAATGCAGGTCCTATAGGAGAAAAGGGTGATAAAGGAACTGCAGGAGCACCTGGTCTACAAGGACAACCAGGACCTCAAGGTGTTCCAGGACCATCCGGTCCAGTTGGGGTTGTTGGGGCACCTGGGGCTTCGGTTAGTATATTATAAGGATACGTTTGATTTTTTAAGCATATGATCTATATAATTACTGCATTCTAAAAATAAAATTCTAATATTAATTTTCAGGGCGAGAATGGTCCTCCAGGGCCGCCCGGTACTCCTGGAGACGAAGGTAAAGTAGGAGAAGCAGGACCCAGAGGTGAGAAAGGAGAACGGGGAAGGCGTGGTCCAAAAGGTCACCGAGGTGATATAGGGCCCACAGGATCCAAAGGTGATGAAGGGGAACGAGGGAATAGTGGCGAAAAGGGACCTAGAGGCCCTGAAGGACTGAAAGGAAATATGGTAAGATTTTTCTCATAAATTTGTTTAGAAATTATTTTTATAATTACGAACCTTTCATTACAGAGTCGTGTAAATTTCTTCTTCTTCTCATGGCACTATAACTCTCTGTGAGTCTTGGCCTGGTTAACAACGTTCTTCCATTCTGCCCTGTCGGATACTTCCCTTCGCCAATGCCTATGTTCATGGTTTTAAGATCTTCCTCTACATCGTCCCTCCGCCTTTTACGGGACCTTCCTCTTGTCCTGTTTGCTTGGGGTTTCCATCTCTGGATTATTTTTACAGCTCAATTATCTGGCATTTTTTCTAAGTGGTCAGGCTAGTTTAGTCTGTGACTTTACAGTTTTAACGATATCTGCGCTCTGCAATAATTCATCCAGCTCATAGTTTATTTTTATTCTCCACCAAACATCGCTACAATGGGTTGGTCTAAATACCTTTCTCAAATATTCTCAATTGATTTTCATCAGCTATTAAAGGAGTGCACGTTTCACATCCATATGTGACCACTGGCTTAATTATTGTTTTGTGGATTCTAAGCTTAGACTCACGATTCAGTAACTTACTTTTCATTATGTCTTTGTTTGTCTGAAAGCACTTATTACAGCTAATAATCCGTGCTTGTATTTCTTGACTGACTATTTTTCTGTCATTTTTTATTATTGAGCCTAGGTGGAGACATATTCGTAGGTATGGTTGTCTACCTTCAGATGCTCATGTCGATTCGACTTATTTTATTTTCCTTTCATTTATGTTTAAACCAAATATAAAAGCTTCCAGTTTCAAATATATAGCTTTGTCGGTGAATACCCTTCTATTGAGGCTTATTATGACAACATCGTACGCATGTGCACATATTTACGTAGATCTTGTATTAATACAGCCGTTCATATCTAGTTTTCTGATAATAGCTTCCAAAGTTGGAATAAAAAGTGTTGTTGATAAAGTATCATCTTGCCCAACTCCATTTTCAATATCAAATGCCTCTGTCATATCACCATATATTCTCACCATGGCATTGGAACTCTCTAGTCATTTGCACAAGTTGAACTACCTTTCTCAGTATTCTAGTGGTCTCAATTTACTGTTTAATATTTACAATTTATATTATAAATTATCTCACAGGGGCCCGTAGGGCAACTAGGTCCTAAAGGTAACGATGGTCCTCCTGGTCTTACCGGTGTAGATGGTCCCCCAGGTCCGAAAGGTTCTGATGGTCCGACCGGAATTAAAGGTGAACCTGGACCCGTCGGACCAGTTGGTCCTCCTGGAGCTCCAGCTGAAATGCCTTTGCTTCCTCCAGAAATGTTATTCCAAATTCAAGGAAATATGGATAAAGGAATGGTTCGTAGAAGAAGAAATGTAGAGGAGTTAATGTAAGTTTAATAAAGAATATATATTTATAATAAAAAGAGTTTATTGTAAATCACACCTTATTTTAACTGCAGGTTGATATACACGTGAGTGCAAAACAATCGACTCAAAAGCGATATTTGAGACTACACCTTCTGTTTAATGTAAGAAGTATGAAAATAACAAGATGTAATGTGCAAATAGTGACTTTATTATTGAACTTACAAAAACTGCTATTTCATTATTTGAAAGACGCATTATAAAAACAATATGCAATACAAACAGAGTTTCTCAAATATTTATCATTGGAACTATCCCAAAAGAGACATAATCAAAAGAGAAATCATCAATTACAAAAGAATTTTTTGTGGTTTTTCAGTATCTGATATTACCACCCCTATTCCTAATTACACTTTTCAATCGATTTTGCATGGATCGGATGACTTTTCTAATAAATTCTTGAGGCATTGCTTCCCATGCATCATTAAGCGCAGCTCTCAATTCTGTTATGCTCCTTGGTGCATGATTTCTGCTCTGGACCCTTCGTTTAAGCTCATCCCAAACATGCTCTATTGGATTTATGTCCGGACTCAATGCAGGCCAATTTATTGTAGATATACCGATCTCAGTCAGATAGATGGTGGTAACTCGTGCGGTATGACATCGTGCATTATCATGCAACAAAATAAAGGCATTACCAATAAATCCCGCGTATGGAACCACATGTTCCTCCAAAATATCTCTGATGTAACGATCCGCCGTTAAACCTCCTCCACGTCCTCCACAAGGCACGAAAACCAGCTCAGTTTTCCCCTCCATGAAAATGCCTGCCCAAAACATACAAGAACCGCCTCCATAGACACAATTTCTCGTATACAACATTGAGCAAATCATTCCCCTGGCCTTCTATAGAGTCGACGCTTCTCGTCGTTGCCATGTAGGCAGATTCGACTTTCGTCGGAGATTAATACCTGATTTCATTGATAGTCGTCCCAATCCAGATGTTCGCGAGCAAATTCTAGTCGTCTTTGCTTCTAGGCTGCAGTTAGCTTGGGACCAGTAGCTGCCCTTTTTGGTGTCAGGTTGGATGCTTTCAGTCTTCTTCTGACTGTCCAAATGCTGGTAACCACACCTCGGACCTGTCTAAGCTCTTCTTTGAGATTAGCACCAGTCAAATGTCGATTTCTTGACATTTGACTTTAGATACAAGAAATCGATCATCTCTGTCTGTTTTTATTCGCTAATGATCTCCTCCTTGTCGGCGGACATAATCACCAGTACCTTGGTACCGAGGATACACTCGGGACACAGCAGATTGGCTTAAATTTAGTCGATTTGCCAAGGCTCTCTGGCTCAGCTCTCTTCTCTCAATAATGCTACTGCTTGAGCTGCTTTGACGGATGTGGTATCCATGTGTTATGAAGTTGCGAACTTAATTGACTGATGTATTAATTGCTATGGATTTTGATGCTTACGATATTAACCAAATGTGTTAAGTGGGAGCGTGTCGATTTCAATGGGTCGAATTATAACCTCCTCTCTACGTGTTGCATTATTTATTTTTAATACGTCACCCGATTTGCCAAAAATCAAAACTTTTTCAAACTCAATAATGAGGATAATAATTGTACACTAAAAATTTTTAAATTTCCACCTTTTTGATTGAAACAGGAGACGTACTTTCGCAAAATAAATTTCGAGTCTATTTTTTTGCACTCAAGTGTAGATGCAATTAAACAAAAGATTAGTTATATTTTTTATTATTCTTTTTTTTTAGAGCGGAATATGAAGATGAACTTGGATCCAAATTGGATGAAATATCAAAGGAAGATATGAATATGAAATTTTTGGAAATGTACAGTACTATTTATAATATGAGAATCGAATTAGAAACGTTTAGGAAACCTACTGGAACCAAAGACAATCCTGCAATGACTTGTAGAGATCTTTATTATGGACACCCGCATTTAAAAGACGGTAGGAATTATATAACCAATATATACTTTTAATAACATTTCGCATATATTTATTTATATTACTATTATAGGTTGGTACTGGATTGACCCAAATCTCGGTATGAAAGATGATACTGTTTATGTATTTTGCAACATGACTGCTGAAGGAGAAACTTGCGTTTATCCCGATGTTCACAGCTCCAATGTACCTAACATTCCTTGGAGAAAAGAGGGCAATCACGAGAAATGGTACTCCAATCTGAGAGGCGGTTTTCAAGTAAGTTATTTTATCTAAAACAACCGCCTAAGGATGTAATTATGTATTAGATGGAATTTATGGTAAAAAGAAATTTTTATAGTTAAATGTTCAAAAATGATTTCGAGGAAGCAAAAATTTTGCTGTTCCCTTTATTAGAATATAGATAGCATTACCTTTGGTTTGATTATGACATAATAAAGTGCGCCATCTTCTATCATATTCATTGAATTCAAAACTGTATTCTATACTTCAAAAATGAAGGAAAGCTGATCAACAATAATACTTTGCATAATTTCATCAATCAATTAACGCAAAAGAAGAAAATTCCGAACGCAATAACTTCATAGCTATAATTTTTTATAAAAAGGGGATATATTACACCTACTAGTCGTGAGATTACAAGTAAGTTTAGACTTTATCAAACGCACAATCACTCACATACGAAAATTTTCTGGAACTTCAAAAAGAAAATTTGTTGTTTTGTCAATTAAAAAAAAAATTAAAATTATAGCAGAACTAAATAAAGGTGTTTCTGCTGTCGCATTAAGCAAAAAGTATAATGTTCCGAGAACAACGATCAATGATTTAAAGAAAAATGCTGAAGAAATTGAAAATTATGCTTCGCAATTATATCGTTGGATCGCCGGGTAAAACATCGTAAGACAATGAAAAAAGCCACAAATGAATCACTCGATACGGCTCTGTATTTGTGGTTCGCTAAAAAAAAGCGAATATATTCCATTGTCCGAACCAATTGTAGCCAAAAAAAGCGTCGATTTTGAACATGAAATTGAACGGCGATCCTTCATTCAAAGGAAGCACTGGCTGTTGGAAAAGTTTAAAAATCGCCACGATATACCTACGCGAAATCCATGAATATGGTTTGACACGCGATCAAGTGTTCAATGCGGATGAAACTGGTTTAAACTACAAAGCATTACCAACGAAAACACTCGCTGCACTGTCTATGAAATATGCACCCGGATTTAAAACGCAAAAGCAACGAATCACAGCAATGATGTGTTCAAATGCAAATGGTGACCATCGCCTTCCTTTATTATTGATTGGAACAGCAAAAAAAAACACGTTTTTTTCAAGTATAGTAGTTAACGGAAAGCGCGTTCATAAATACGAACCATTACGCACAACATAATGTATGGATATCCCAAGAAATATTGGCTGACTGGTTTAAAAAGGTATGTACTGCAGATCAAAATTTATTTATCGATTTTTATAACACTCCGTTTTTTTCAAAAAAGGTTTTATACCGAACGTTCGACAATACTTGCAATCAAAAAATTTTCCTCCAAAGGCGATTCTCATTTTGGACAATGCACCTGAATGCATCCTGAAGAGGGTATGCATCGAAGTGAGGATGGAAATATCATGTGCTCTTTTCTGCATGCGAATATAACATCATTAATACATCCAATGGATCAACCGGTCATTAAAACTTTCAAAAAACGATACAGAAAAAAATGTGAAATATGAAATGAAAAAAATATTCGTTGCAAGAATACCGGAAAGCATACAATTTAAATCATTCAGTCGACAATGATGCGGATGTCTGGGCAAACGTTTTGCAAGTAACGCTGAAAAGAGCGTGGAATAAATATGGCCTGAATATAATGCCCCCGTGACAGCTGAGCGTGATGCGATAACAAATAAAGTTATGGCTGAATCAACTATTTTGCTTTCGTTGCCTAAAGATGACATAAACGAATGGTTAATTTGTGATGAGGACACAAACTGCTATCGATTGTTAAAATATGATAAAATCGTTGAAATGGCAACAGAGGCGGATGAAACAAATCCAGAAGTTGACACAGACCTAGAATTTGACGGTGGCGATGTCGATGATGCATTGCAACTAACAAAGATTTGCGTAAAGAAGCTAGAGAAGTTGCATAGCACATGAAACAATTTATCGAGCAGTATTTTTGACAAGAAAAAGCCAATAAAGTAGATTGCATGATCTAACGTCGATTAAGAAATTCAGCCGTTGCAAAATGTAAACAGTAAAACTAACAAAGATTTCAGAATATGTTCAACAAAATTGATTCGCTGATACGAACACAAATACGTTTTAAATTGTCAAACGAAACATATAAATACAATTTAACAGTTGTACTATGATTTTTTTTTTTATTTGTTTTAATGTTTTCGTATCCGTCTCTTCGATTGTCCGTCATACCCTTCTTTTTTCATAGTAATTTTTTTAAATCAATTGTATAGTTTTAACTTCGCTCGACTACAGATGTTCAAATTGGTTTTTCTAATTCCATGACAACAGGTGCATTGTTTATTGACATAAAAAGTGCATATGACAATATTGATTTAAATATACTCTGTGATAAACTTGTGTTTCTTGGCATTCCAAAATCGATAGCACATTTACTATCAAACCTATACAAAGAGAGAAGTGTATCGATAAGAGTAGGTCACAATATTATTGGACCCAAGATCACATCAAAAGGTATTCCACAGGGAGCTGTTTTAAGTCCACTTCTTTTTAATTTGTACACATACGATTTGCACAATTTATGGTCTCCCAATATTGTTTGCTTACAATATGCTGATGATATTGTCATCTATTCACATAAGAAAACGTACAGTGAAAGCACTACTGAACTCAAACATAGTATGTACAACTTAGATAATTGGACTTGGTTAAATGGATTCAATATTTCGTACCAAAAATGTGCCATAGTATTTTTTTCAAGAAAACACCCTATTAAACATCACGCTGTAACCTTACATGGCAATGATATTCCAATTATTTCAGAATTTAGATATCTTGGTGTCATACTTGACAGGAAACTGCTTTGGACTCAACATATTAATTATACAATTGGTCGCTGCGAAAAAAGGTATTAATTTTCTTAAAATGGTGTGAAAGAGATCGTGGGGTGCAGATCAAAACATTGCATTGAATTTTTATCGAGCCTATATAAGATCTATAATAGATTACTCTTGTGTGGTATATGGGTCAGCTAGCATAACCAATTTACGTAAACTTGATAGAATTGATGAAAAGCACTCCAAATGAAGCCACCCTAGCTCTAGCATCTGAAAATCCACTCTCATTGCGCAGAGAATATCTGACAAGCAAATATTTCCTAAACCAACATTATCGTGGCACTTATAATGCAAAAATAATTAATGAATTAAATACAGCTGATTTAACATCTACATACTTCGTTAAAAAAAACTCTCCACCACTTGCAAGAGCAATTATAACTTGCAACGAACTGAAGTTAATAAATTCCCCTTGTAATCTTATCTGGGAATCGTTGGATATACCACATCTAACAAGTGTTCTAGCTACAAATATTATTATCCCAAAATACCAAAACGAATTTTGCTACTACTCTTAAAAAAATCTTAAGTGGCTATTCAGATCATATTGTGATCTATACAGACGGGTCAAAATCACCAACATGTACAACCAGTGCTTACTTTGTACCAAAAATAAAGATTAAAAAATCATTTATTTTAAATAATCAATCCAGCATTTTTTCTGCTGAAGCGTGTGCTATATACAAAGCCCTTGAATTGTGCTGTGAAAACCAGTGGAACAAAATTGTCATATGCAGTGATTCACTGTCAGTATTGCACTCCTTACAAAACTTTAAATTCACAATCAATAGCAATATATTCATATTAGAAATTTTTCAACAGTTACTAAAACTATCAGATCCACATGGTACTAAATTTCTATGGGTCAAGGGACACTCAGATATTGTTGGCAATACTATTGCTGATTCTATAGCTAAAAATCCATTACAGCACCCACATATGGTGATAGAAGAATTTAACACATGTGACCTACTTGCCCATATCAAACAACATATTAAATTTAAATGGGACAGACAATGGATTCAGTTTGGTTTAATTTATAGAAATTACAACCCACAGTAGATGTAAAACAATTTTACAAAGATGTTACACTAAGCAGAAACACAGTGTCAACCGTCTTAAGATTAAAAGTAGATCATGGATGTTTTCCAAAACATCTACACAAAATAGGAGTTCTCCCAACAGACCGATGTGAGTGTGGAACCAGTATAGCTGATTTAAATCACATATTCTTCAACTGCCCACTACATCGTAATACAAGCACGTGGCTGATAAAAGAATTGATAAAAGAGGGATTAAGTACACCATTAAACGTAAATCTCCTATTAAGTGAAGACAATATAAAAATCTTTGAAACAATTATGATATTTCTTGTAAAAATTAAATTAAAGGTATGAGTGTAAAATTGATCGTATGCTTGAACATTTCCTTTGTATATTTACCATATATGTTGCCCACCTACCTAACCGTGGTTTATGTCTTAATTGTAACAATAAAGCCGCTCTGATGAATCCCTGAGCGTGAAAAGTGTCCTCCTTGTACAATCCTGTATGAATGAAAACTAATATGTAATTACGTGGCTAAAAGGTTTCAAGCCAAAGCCAATAAAAAAGAAACTTCGCTCGAAAAGATATTCACAAAGGCACCTGGAAATCACCAGATGAACTTACAGTTAATATGATAGATCATGCTATTTTACACTCAAGACACCAATCGAATATAATAAATGTCCGCACCAGGAGAAGAGCGAATGCTGATTTTAATCACTACCGGGTCGAAAGCAGGGTAAGGGTCAGAATGTTTTAAACATCAAAAAAGGAAATGGGTTCCAAACATGACCGATACAATGTAAAAGGTCTCAAAGATACATACACAAATCAGATTACACATCAGAAAACAGATTAAAATATGAAAACATAAATTAAGAGTGGGAAGAGTGCAGAAACAGCATGAAAGAAGAAGTTGAAGAATTATTCGGCAAAGAAGGTAAACAAAGAAGAACAAGAAAAAATGGTTTGTTTGACGAATAATGTCAGATTGTAACACAAAGAAAATATAGGGCATATTAACTGGTGCAACAGGGGCACAGAACCCGTCAAGCAGAGGAGGAATATAAATGAAGCTTTCTTGCTATTGACAAAATAGCAAGAAAGACTATGGAGATGGAATTCCTGAATGCGACTAAAAATGTTTTGGATTATATTGATATATTAGATTTTCGTTTTTAATACTCCCTTTTATGTTTTATGTTGCTTTTAATTATGTGTTCCTATTGTATGTCACGCAAAATAAAAAATAAATTATATATATATATATATATATATATATATATATATATATATATATATATATATATATATATATATATATATATATATATATATATATAAATTACAGGATCCAACTTGTAAATACAATACATTTTGGAGATTCCTGTTCTCCTTCGCCAATCAACTCAGTCCAAGGCATGCTCCTCCTCCAAGCCTTTCGTTTCCATCGCTCTTCTAATTTCTTCATTCCATGAGCGGCGTCGAAGTCTACCTCTTTTTCTTCTTCCATGGGGCTTCCATCTGTAAAGTGTTTGGGGCAATTTTCGTCAGGCATTCTCAATAGGTGTCCATCCAAACCATTTTAAACCTCTTCTTTCTATCCTGTCAATTACCGTTTCTGTAGCATTCATGTTATTTCTTATAGATTCGATGGTTTTCCTTTCCAGCCTTGATGATCTAGCACTTCTTCTCAAATAATCCATTTCAACTGCCAACAATCTTCTCTTTAGTTCTCTGCATTAATTGTCTATACTTCAGAGCCATAACTAAGAACTGATTCAACCATGGTTTGCCCTAGTCCTTTTTGTTCCTTTTGGAAATGTTGCAATCTCACCATAGGAATTCTGACATCCCCATAAATATTTAAATGTTTCCACTTATTTTATTTCCACCTCCTCGTCTATCAACACTTCAAACCTTGCATCTGAATTGATAACTAAATATTCTGTTTTCTTCATGCTGACTTGTAACCCCCATTTTACATATTCTCTGTATAGACGCTTTATAATAAATTCTAGATCATAAAAATCTTGAGCTTCAACGCTTGAACCATCTAAGGTACGCTGATGACATCGTATTGATAACCGATAAAAAAGAAGAATTATTTGAAATGATGAAAGAACTGGATGTAGAAGCTGGAAAGATAGGCCTTAATATGAATTACAGCAAGACCAAAACTATAACAAATACAGATGAAGACATCACAATGAGAATCGGACAAGATGAAATAGAACAAGTTAAGGATTATATATATCTTGGTCAAACTATAAAACTTAACAAAGAGAACCAAACAGCAGAGATCAAGAGACGAGTTAGACTGACATGGGCGGCATTCGGCAAACTAAGCTACATTCTTAAAAACAAAAGAGATCCACAGCATCTTAAGACCAAAGTATATAATCAATGCGTACTCCCTGTTCTTACGTATGGCTCCCAAACGTGGACATTTACAAAAGCAAACATGGACAAAATCATAAAAACCCAAAGAGCAATGGAAAGACAAATGCTGCACATAAGACTAATGGATAAGAAGAGAAACGAGTGGATAAGAGAGAAAACAAAAGTGAGGGATGTTAGACAAGAAGTTGCAAAATTGAAATGGAGATTTGCCGGACACAATATAAGACAAAAAGAAGACCGATGGAACAAAATTCTTATAAGTTGGAGACCGTGGGAATATAAACGAAGCAGAGGAAGGCCCCAAATGAGATGGGCAGATGATATCAACAAGCACGTGGGCTCTAGATGGATGACCGTAGCGACAGACAGAGAAGAATGGAAAAGAATTGGGGAGGCCTATGTCCAAAGATGGACCGAAGAAGGCTAATTAGATAGAAGAATCTTGAGCTAGGACGACTTGGTCATCCGCAAAGTTCAGGGAGAACAGTACGTCATTTCCTATGGGGATTCCCATTCCCTAGCAGTGGTCTTTCCAATTTTGGAGGGTTGCCTCAATATATAAATTAAACAGTAAGGTTTAAACGTAAACATACTGCATCCTTGTCTTAGTCCTTTAGTTACTTTTATTAGCTCTGATAGTCTATTTCCAATTTTTAGATAGATAGTGTTTGTTATCCCTGTATACTTCTGTGATTATTCCTAAAAGGTATGGACTAATGCCCAGTTGTTGTAAAGCTTGCCACAATTTAAGTCTTGGAACAGTATCCTACGCCTTTTCTAGATGGATGAAGGCTAGATGTACTTCGGTACCAACCGTTATTCTTTGTTCTATTAATTGTTGGAGTACAAACAAGTTATAAGTGCAAGATCTACCAGCCGCTTTGGTCTTCGCTAATTAGATGTCCTACATCATCTTGTATTTTTCCATTTATCTTTCCAAACAATCTCCCGAAAGTAGGTAGGTCAATTAATCCTCTGTAGCAGTAAGGATGTTTTCGATTACCCTTTTCAAAAATGGACACTTTGTGAGTGGTTTTCCATTCCGATGGTACTTTAATTTGTTATTAAAAAATAAATTCATAAGCTTAAAATGGGATAGCCCCTGGGAGTTGGCTGTATACCATATTAATTAAAAAACTCAAACTTCTAAGTAAAACTTCTATTGTAAGTGGTATAATATTTATTAAAAAATTAAATTAAAAATCCAAAGGGATTATAATAAAGTTAAAAACGTTTTCGTACTTATTGGTCTATCATGAGTGAACTTTGAAGTATTTGCGCTACTAACCGCAAATCAAACGGTGTGATGTTTCAAAAAGTAGATATCATATTTAACAGTATTAAATTAAACGGCACAATGTTGATGTAAATGGATATAACTATCCGTAAACAGTATGTCCCTACTCGAAATAAAATTTCATGTCCAGACGAGTATACTCGTTCGGATGGGAAATTTTATTTCAAGTAAGGACATACTGTTCCCAATAGTTATATCCATTTATATATGGATTATGCCGTTTAATTTAATACTTTTAAGTATGATACCTACAATTTTAACCCAACTACTGTTTCGTTTTGCGGTTAGTAGCGCAAATACTCTAAAGTTCACTGAAGATGAACTGATAAGTCCGAAAACGTTTTTAACTTTATTATAATCCACTTTTATTTTTTCAAGGAAAACCTTGTCCAAAACTATATACAATCTGGCACGCTGTATAGTTTATAGGTTTTTGAATGCCACTTATTGATTTTTGTAGGGCTTTTCTTAATTCTATTTGTTTTATTTTTTTTAGATTACTTATGAAACGGTGGGCACGGTTCAAATGTCATTTTTGAGACTCCTATCAAAAGAAGCTTACCAAAATTTTACCTACACATGTATCAACAGTGTAGCATGGCATAACTCGAAGACAGATAAGTATGACATGTCAATCAAGCTCCTTGGAGAAGACGAACACGAGTTTGCATATAATTCCCTGAAACCAAATATTTTGGTAGATGGTTGTCAGTCCCGAAATTCTAAAAGTGAAACAATATTTGAAATTCGAACTCAGAAATTATCTCAACTACCGCTTATAGATTTTTATCCAATAGACTACGGAGCGCCTAATCAGGCTTTTGGATTTTCAGTAGGACCTGTTTGTTTTAAGTAATAAGTTAATTTAAGACAAAAATGTTATTTGTTCTTGTTACAGCACCTTATTTATTTTATTATACGTGATATAAAAATATGTACATATTTCACTGCCTATTTTATACTTATTAGTTCATAAGTCTTATAAGATTATATTCTTCTGTACAGGGAATTAAAAAACTATTAAAATTTATTTTTTTTTTAAGTTTAAAATCCTAGTTAGCTCCCATGAATTCAAAATCCTCCCATAAAAATAGAAAAGAATCTAAAAAAAACACAAATAGCTTTGAACATTACAGCGCCAACAATATACTGTTTATCGAGATATTAATATAGAGGTAAAAGTTTATGGTCGGTATGGACCTAACGTGAGATGGGGTGAGAAACACTTGTTTAAAAAGAGAGAGGTGTATTAGGTCCGCCATTTATATCGTCGGAAATGCATTAGTGGAAATAATAAAAGAGAGGAAGTTCAACGTTGCCAAACTTATTGGTTTTATTTGACCTGTGGTCTTTTTAGCATTTGAACAATGTTCTAAGATAATCAAATTTGAGCGAATTGATTTAAATGGCAGCTTACTGTTTTTTATTAGGAATGTGCCACAGTTTTCCTTTACAATACGTTTAATTTAACATTTTGATTTCTACTTCGGAAATCGTTTTATACATATAGATAAAATGTATTAATGTTTCCTATTTTAAGCACGATTTTCGAATTTGAAATTTAAACATTAAAATAAGCTTATTTTAAACTCACATTGTGCCCTATTTCTAATAAAAATAATAAACTGCATTATGACGCCACAATAAAAAAGCTTAAAATTGATGAATAATGGCCAATACAGTTTTTTTTATAGGTATTCGCCTATTTTCAAAAGCCATAATAAATAAATTGATAGTCTCTTGTATTGAACTGCCCCCAAAGTACCATTTTATTATTTGTACCCATTCTTCTGCTGGCATATGTAATTATTATCTTCACACTTACCAAGTTACCTCCAAAAAGAAATACATATTATAGCGTTCGGCCTATCTCGTATGCAGTTTTCCCTTCAAGAGAACAGATGAATGGCGATGTTACCAAAATTATCTTGTTTTATTCAAAATTAGGTTACAATTTCGTCAAATAAAAATGCGAATCTGTAAACTTTTCATGGATTTAAGAAATTTTGTACCAGTATTTGTGTCAATTAGTGTTTCATTTTTAATATCATCATCCAGTCTTGAATGGCAATATAACCGCGCCACTGATCGGAAATTTTTTAAATCAATTCAATGTTTTAATTCAAATATGTAATAAGGCAACCCTGCCGCTGTTTCTTAAATTATCGTCTGGCGTTTACTAATAAGCGTGCATAAAGAATGTGGAGGGAAGACCAAGGGTAAATATGATTGTTCTTTGTCTAAGTATTCGCTGAAATATTGATTTTATATCTGTGTTATATATCCTGTTAAATTCTACTATACGACCATAAATTTTTACCTACACCGTATAACAGCACTATACACCCTAGAGGCTCTTGGCTTCGATAGTCTTGTGGAAGTAAATTGGGCTCAAATGAGGGAAAATGTTGACTGGTAGAATTGGGAGAACGCTTTTGCTTATGTATTAAAAATAGAGGAGAATATGTGCAAGTTGGATGGAAAAGTGGAAAATGTTATTAAACGTGTAATAGTACAGGTCGGCGCCAACGAGTTAGAAGACTAGATGAATTCCCAGGGTTCTGATGATTTATAAACCAAGCTGTAGGTAAAAAATTTAATGTTTTAGTTTTAGATGATATCTTTATCGTTGTAATAGACATATTTTATACAAAAAGGTTAAGAATGAATTTACTTTATTTGTGTTAAAGTTTAAATTTTTTATCTGTTGTATAAAAAATTCAATTCTGGATGTAGACAATATTTGTAAAATGCCTTCATGAAATGCCACTGATAAAGAGTAAAGAATTAAGGATTCGGATAATTTGTAGTGAACAAATTTTTAGGGCGCTTATTACTTATTAAATGTACGGACAGCTATTAAAATGTTATGCACCGATATTATTTTGATTTTCTTATTAGTAGAATAGAAATATACTTTATTGTCACTAAAAATTGTACAATTTTATGGACAAAGCCTACAAAATAAAAAAATATCAACAATTAAAATTTACTAAATTTACATAAATCGTCAATATCACAGAATCACAAAATAAAAGATAATAAAATGGGCTTTAGCCCATAATATTGTGACAATTGACTTCCAAAAGTGTGACACCAAAGTGCTAACCCTCACACTAACAATTCAGACTAAATAACGATTTGAGACTTCTCTGAAGTGGGTTGGAATGCAAAGGGAAGAATCATCGTGGTCTTGCATACAATGATCTATTCTCAGTAGATTTTAGGAATGCAATAGCCGTCACGCAGAAGGTGTGAAAGTTATAAATAAATCAATGCAAATTTAAAACAAGGAACCACACATTGTTAACGATATACGAAAAGTTTAAGTAAAAAAATTAGATCCCTAGAGATCTCGTACAATCAGTACAAAAACTGAAAGAATTGTATATGCTTCCATAAAAAAAAACTAAATAGCAATTATCTCATAATAATTTCTTATTATTAAAGGAAAGAGGAACATCATTAGGTTGTCTTTGAGAAAACAAAAAGAACACAAATTGAACTTCTTCCACGTAAGGCATCAATCTCTGGATCAATATAAAAAGTCAGTCTCCACCTTTTTATATTTTAAGAATCTTACGACTATATTCAGTTACTCTGCAAACCTTCTGAAAACCTCTATAAAAGGGATAAGATTTTATTGTCCCACACAAAAAAGAACAGCTACGGCGAACAATTGCCTTAACTAATATTCCATAATACACTGGGGCGCAAAATTACCCGGACACTCAGATTTTTTTGTTTTTTGTTTGTGTTTAGATCAAAACTTGTTCAAATTTGCTTGAATTGTATTTTATGCCTTATTAGCGATAACATTTTTTTCTTTTTTGAACCTGTTCAGATGTTTTTAACAGTTTAACACTTTTACACATACGTTTTGTTATTAATGTTAAATAGTCGCTTAGTATTAATTTAAGTTTATTGTAATACTGTACCTGAATATAAGTTCGGCTGTGGGTTTTTGTATTGTCTCCTGTTTAAAACTTGCATTAAAAAAATTATGACACCAGAAGAAGTGGCAAACGCTGTTGCTTACAGGATGATAGGCGGAGCATTCGTTACATTGCAAATGCTTTAGGAATTTCTCGAAGTAGTGTTTGATGCACTACAAAGATTTCGGGAAATAAGACACACACAGATACACCAGGGCCCTGATTCTATTTCATTTCGGTGTCGAAATTTAAAAGCGAATACGCCATGACAGTCTCAATCGCTAGCGATTCTCATTCATTTCGATTTTAGTTAAAAGTGGGGATATTTACTTTATCATTTTGACACTGCTCAGAATTTGGGTTGGTCGTCTTGTTTATTGGCTGCACGCTGCACAACGCTTATTAAATGTTTGTTGTGTTTACGTTACGCCTTTTGTTTCTTGTTTGAGTTGTTAAATTTTTAGTGGCCATTCTCAATTATTATATTTTGAATTGAAAGAAAATAGATGGAGAGGTGGCACTAAATTGTCCGTGGACCAAAAAGAAATTATTGTGGCTTTTGACTTAGTGGTTATACTCTAATATATTTTTAAATTTACTGCAGCTAAGTAATACTATCCTAAACATTTTGGGTCTCCTAGAGGCATAAACACCCTCCTCCAAATATGGTTTTAATATCCTTATCAAATAATTTGCAGCTTGTTTATTAAGGCGGAATTGCTGCCTAAATTGAGCATCAGTTAGTGAAAAAGGATTTTCTTGTATCATTTATGATAACAAAAAAAAATGGATAGTATCATACAAGCGTATAGTTCTTATATTAGAAACGATACAAGAATTTGTGCCCGTTGCAGTTTCTTGTATAAGAAATGCGTCAATTTGTGCGCAAAAATGTAAAACTTATGTCATAATGGCGGCTGGAGGAGAACGTTGATATACAATTAAACCAAGCAGACATCAGAGAAAAGTGCCCACCAGGCACCAACAATAACCAAGATTAGAACAGCAGTAGCCAAATTGAAAAACAATAAATCACAGGGATTGGATCAAATAGCATCGGAACTACTGAAAGTAGGAGATGTATTACTACAAACAATACATAACCGCTCTAAAAATTCGTGATGAGTTTAAAGATTATTTTATATCTCCAAATAAGAGAGTATAATTTCAAGAGCATGCCATTCAAACACATAATTTGTAAAAAGAAAAAATAAATTATTACAACCAAATTATTTATTATTTTTATCTTCTTCCACTGCAGTTCTATTTTTATCGGTGTATATCATGGCACATTAATTTCGATAAATCGAAAATTAGTGACGTCCTTTGGTTAGTTCAGCTGAAATTCACTAGGCTCGCAAGGTCGCATTTCGACGTCGCCATATTAATTTCGACATATTTTGAGTCGAAATCTCAATTAGAATCAGGGCCCAGAAGGTCTAGGTAGACGAAGGACCACAAGTCAAGTTAAAGATCGCTTTCTTAGGTTACAAGCGATCGTACATTATTAGCACCAGTACTTGTTCAACGATTAAATGATGTCCATAGAAACACAGTTTCCGTTTATATCGTTCGAAGACCCTTAAATGAATATGGATTAAGGTCCAGAATAAGCAGATCATCAAAGGCAACATTTACATTTCGCTCGCGAACATCTTAATTGGGGTGTTGACGATCGGAGCAGAAATGGGTACTGTGCGTTTCACAGATAAATCAAGATTAACAGATACTCATCATATGGGTGGCTTAGGATATAGAGAATAGCTGGTGAACGTTATCAGCAGTTGTGTATAGGCATTTCCATAAAGGCTCATACCGAATTTTTACAATTCAAGGGGGAAATTTGAACGCTCAACGGTATATTCAGCTATGTTTGGAAGATAATGTAGTGCCATTTGCTCCATTTGTTGGATACAAGATC